CAACATAAAACTGGCATAAGAAAGTCAAATAGACTTTTAAAAAAAATACCAGACTTGGGTTACCAGAAGCGGAGTTACGGGATAACACGTGCGTGCGGACGTGCGGATTTGAGAACATCCTCTTTTTTTAAGTGGGTTAAATATTATAGAAATCTTTGTTATTTTTTGGTAATTGTCTTTTCTATGGAAATCGTAGAGTTTACAGGCTATCAAATGATTTGTTAATGAATCACATATTATCATAAAAAATACGGGCTGAATTAGAAACTGCGTTAAATCAATCTTTTTTAATTCATAGAAATTTTGACTTACTCTAAATAACAGTAACAGTTTTCGAAAAAAAAAAAGTTGAAATTTATTAAAACATATAAATGTTCGATAATGAGGAAACTTGTAAGCAATTTGTATCTTTACGGTTTTTTTATTTAAATTATTATCGTGCATAATTTAATGTTATAATGTGACCTTTCTTAAATTACTGTTAAAGCCCCTGCGAATAATCGTAATAAATTAAAACTGAGAAAAATCAATTGTTTATTGACTATGGTCTTTAAAAACAAATGAAAAACAGAAATGTGTGAACAAAAACAAAAAAACGCTTGCATAATTATACGATGCACGAACACAATTGATGCTTTAACAATAAAAGTAGTAGCAGGGTTGAATAAAAATAATATCCAGTCGGAATGTCAAAGTTACGAACTGAGCCAAACTGAAACGTAGACAACAACAACGGATAAACGTCCGATTTGTATTTGACTAGAATTAAAATCAATTTTGTTTGAAAATATGGACGATCAATTGCCTAACAATTACTTTATGTGGGAAATTAAACACACTATAATTAAACCGCCACTGGTTAAACAATGAGACCATACGTTAATTCGTTTAATTAAATTTTACATATAAGTACAATATTATAAATATACACGCGAAAGTTTATATGGATGGATTTTTGTTTAAAGTTATCTCTAGAAAGCCTAAAGGGATCTCTCTGAAATTTTGACATAGATGTAAAACATAGTCTGGAGGAGCACATAGAGTACCTATTAAGATTTACCTTTATTCCGCGCGGACGGAGTCCCAGGTGACAGATAGTCTATAATATTGTGAATCGTTTTGAGTTACGTTTATAATTTTTTATCTATACATTTCGCGTTTAATGTAAATAAAACATAAACACGATAAAAGAAGCCACAGATTACCTACTCACCCAGAAACACAAATTTCTAGTTTGATAAATAAAATCAAGGTCAAGTCGATCATGTATGTTATATATATTTTATACTACGAGCAATTAACATTTAAATTAGTATAAACCAACAATTTCAATTAATGTTACTATTGGTTTGATTGGAAATTACATAAATCACATGAAGAAGTAAATAATATTAAGAAGTAAATAATTATAAAAAAAAAATTACAGATTATTAATTAAAAAAGATTCTATAGTGGCATGAAAAGAACAACAAAGACGTCGACGAAAGTCTGAGGGAGGTCGCTTTTGAGATAATTTTGCTATATTTAGCTCTGCGTAGTGTACTTTGAGATATTCTTCAAGACTTTTTGATATTATATTCAGAAATGTGCCTTTAATTAAATAATACCGTATTATTGTTTAAAAAAAGTATTTTTATCTAGAATACGTATTTTAGGGTTACTCTGGTCACAATTTTTTTTAATTTTCGTAGTTTATTAACGTGAATACGAAAAACAATTAAAAAAACCTAGTTCTACTTTTTGATATGTAACACGAAATATCATCTAATACAAACATCTTGAAATGAAAATAAACTCGTTTTTCGTTATAAAATCAAGCTTTTATAATAATTCTAAGAACATATTGTTATTCGCTGTGCTCATTTGAATAGATCTGAGAAATAAATTAATAACATTCGCAGAAAATAATCTGTCGTAAATTGGCAATTTGTACGGCCATATCTCTGCGATTTTTACACCCTATAGCGTTCAAAAACATAGTGCTATCTCTGTCTTTTTTAAATAATATGAAAGGGACAACCTGTTGTTATAGTCTTTCGGTAATGAAACTAAGGTATGACGATATTTTTTTTTAAATTGGTAACCTTTGAAATAAAAATAAATTAAATTGATAATCTATAACAGCATTTCATCAGTCTTCAAAAGAGTTTGGATGTTTTAAAATTGTCACCAAAAACACGGCACCTGTTTACCAAAGTTTGCTTTTGTAACGTAGTTTGTCCATTTAAATCAAAACGGCTTAACTTATATTATAATAACGCTACGTTTCCAGATATTTTGTGCAGTGACGTAATCGTGTGTAATTCGCATGTTCGGGTCAATTGTTGTGTAATGTTCGTCACTAAACAATTCGGTTCGCAAGCACCATTTATCCGTGTACCAATTGACAGCAGCTAACACGCAATCAGGAAATTGCGTTCACTGTTTCTAATTAGATTAAAATCACTTATCGTTGATTTCTGAATTCAAAATCATTGTATAAAACATATCCTTGTCATCTTTGACAAAATAGACATAACAATATGTTTTAGAAACACACGGTTTATAACCTAGTTTAAAATTCGTGATCCCTTTTGAGGAATTCCTCTATTCTTTCTTTTTAAATCAGAAAAAACAAACAACTAATTATTGTTATGTTGGCATAACTGCGGATAGTTCTCGGTTTTGTTCTATAATAGCATAGCAAATATTTTCATATACAACTAAACACACAGCGTTATGAATAGTTTGTTTACAAGAAGGACGGACACATTTAATATTAGCATATAAATCATTCAGTATGATTATTACTCTGAAATATAATATATTACCTAACAACATAAATACAATTCTATCTTAATGTTACAAACATAAAAAATGTAAATTTGAAATAGTTAGATGTCACGTCTATTGTCCAAATGTTGTCTAACATAGGATTGTCAAAATTTAAAATAATTAGTAGATTTACATTTTATTTAATAGACTCTAATAAAAATAGTTTGGAATATTTATGACTCGAAGCTTCTTTAATCTAAATCCTCCATACATGCCCTTCTCTTCCGCTGAACCATCAGACTGTAAGTCTAACTTAGTAAATATGTTATACTAGAAATTCGTGTAAAATACGTATTTTGAACCACTTATTAAGTCGAAGATTTGACAAATCGAGGTTTTTTTTTTAATTCTCATGACATTCGTGATATCGAGATTCTAATGTAGTCACCCAATAGCGTTATAGCATTGTTAATTTGCGTGCCAGAACACGTGATTTCTGAAATACTTTAATGAATACGCTCCAAGATCGTAAACAATGACTATTATTTCTGTAAAATATGAATTCTATAACAAATACGCAAACATTATACCAGTATTTATGAAGGACCTTTTTGTAAAACTCGAACAGTGCTAATTGCTACTACGTCATACGAGCAAACGTTTTGGTATGCGTATCTCATTAAATAGAACTGTCCGTCTGTCGTGTCATATGTCGATATTCTGGCATTGCACGAGATAATAAAATAAAAATTGATTGTTTACAAATTAAGGTAAGCATTTCAATAAAATCTCACTAATATTATAAATGCGAATGTTGAGTTAGACGGATGGATGGATTGTTAGAAGGTGTCTCACTGAAATTTGGCATAGATGTAGAACATAGAAAAAACAAATAAGCTACTAATCAAGTTTCTTTTAAATCTCGTGCGGACGGAGTCGCGGTCGATAGCTAGCCAATAATAAAACCCTTGTATAAAAATTCTTAAATGGTAACCCCATTTAACAAAATATTTGAAATAACACAATGAAACGATATTTGAAGAATGTCTGATAAATTTCATAATGGCTTTGCAGAACTGAATTCACCGACCTTGTGTCTAACATATCAGCACAATGGAAGCAGGCGAAGAGTGAAAGGCTCTAACTTCAGCATTTGTTTCCCGAAACGACCCTGACATTAGCCAAACATATTTAATATTAAATCTCATTTTTAACCTTTTTTTAAACCTTTTCTATGATTCACGGCTTCAGAATTTATTAATAAATAATTTATAATTATAATTATCAACTTTACTTTTAAAAAGAAAGCTAGAAATAACGATAATCCAGTCTATTGTTGAGTGTCATTTCATTTTAATTTTAAAGAAAAACTCACGATGATGCGCGCTCACTAAATGTCACATTCTACAATGTACGCGCCATTTTAACCTAAAACTTTGTAAAATGTGAAATTATCTAAATCCACAATTTTAGTAATGCGAATTGGAGCACATTTAATTAAGAAAAACTTTATTTCTTTAATTAAAACCTGTTTTTAAATAAATAGACATGCACAAGATGGAATTAGAGTGGACTCGTGGCTAGCGTTGGTGCTACTTATCGGTAGTCTGCGTCTGGGAGACGTATTGGCAGTTTGACAAAAATACCAACCGGCGAAGCGCACTGCACATGTAGAATATAATCTCAACTTGTATAACTTTCCAGATGATTTAATACCTAAGACCCGCGATCAATGCACTTCGGTAAAAAAAATGATTCAAAAGTTAGAACATTTTATAACATGCTTTGTAATGAGCGTGATATTCCAATAACAGAAAATAAAGTAGTGACGTAATTTATCGTAAAATAATGCGACGAAGTGTTTTGTCTTTGGCAGCGACCTTTCGCGAGAAACTTGTCTCATTAATTATGAAAACACTTGTACAATTTTAATATCGAACCTTGCAGCAAACAGCTCCTCCACCTACGTATACGCCTGGTTATGAAATGTTTGATATAGTTTTAATATTATTACTTTTTATTATAACATAGGTGGGTATTTTCTGTGCACATTCCCTTTTATCATATATGCTATTGTAAAGAGCCATGATGGGATTGTAAATATTAGTCTCTAGGGCAAAGAGAATAACTTTTCCTCTCCTATCTCACGTACAATATTCATTATGTATGTATGTTATTAAATACATAATGATAATAAAATAATCTAACTCATGAGACACATATGAGGATTGAAAACTTAATATTACCTGTGCTCTGTTTATGACGTCGTGCGGTCCCCGCCATGTCGTCGCCGCAGGTGATTTTCGCTTAGCAAGCTCTAGAGTGGCTTCGCTGGGGCATCGTTCAAACATAAGCACTCGTTCGGCCACAGAACCTCGCGTGAGGAATGGACGAACGGGAGCAGCTCCTGAGGCGGAGGCGGACTCGCCATTGCCGGCGCTGGCGCCTGCACTGGTAGCACGGCGAGCGCGTGCTTCAAACTTGGATCTGGCCTCAGTGACATGCGAGCCGAGCGACGCCCGTCTCTCGCCACCCGCCCCGGCCGCCGGCTTCCTCGCACCAGTGTCGAGCCTGTCCTGGTACCGACTCTTGGCATAGTCGACCAGAGAAACCGGCGGCACGACGTCCGGCCTCTCCGCGGTCCTCTCGGCCACGACTCCGCCGGTGCGCAGCGCCCGCAGCAACCGCTCCTCCTCGCGGGCCACCTCCAGCCGCATCGCTGCGGAATCGCCCCGACGAGAAGGCGCACTGCTACCGGCACCGTTACGTTCTGGTACCAAGTCTGGGGGCAACGTTACATCCATCGCGTCCTCCTCGGGCTCGGTTCGCTGCTCCCTCCTTGACTCGACTCGTTGCTCCCGCGCGCCCTCCGAACGCTGGTCGCGGCGGAACTCCGGTCTTTGTTTTATTTCAGGCTTCGGCTCCGGCCGAGGTTTGGAGCGTAAGCTTTCTGTCAATTTTATGCCGGGCGTGGGCCTGCATGACAATATCTCCGTGGGCGCTAGGCCGCGCGCTTTCCACGTCTGATAGATAGCTTCTGCATGGTCCGATATCTGTTTAGCTATTGCGGCGATGTCCTCCTCGCCGGTGTCTATCTCGCGGCGGGCAGTGGCCGCCATGGCCGAGCCGCTCGCCGGCTTGCAGCCGATATACGAGGCACCTGCTGCCGCTCCGGTCGCTTCACGGACGCAAACGCCCCATCGGCACACACGGTGGACACAAACGACTACACTGAGAGGAACCCACTGAAACTGCGATCACTGGGGAACGGCACTTAAACGGTACGTCAATGATTACACGAACAGCTGTGTCGGAGCGGCGAGCGCGCGTGGAACTATAAACAAAGGCTACGATCGCGGATCACGATGCGGCAAGCTGGTTGCGGCGAGTGACAACAAACCGACATCGAAAGCGAGCGGCGAGCGCGGACTGCGGCGCCGCGCGGCCGCCAACGGGAGACGAGCGACGCGACGGGCGGCGGGAGACGGGCGGCGCGGCGGCGGCGGGCAAAGCGGCGCGGCGACGACGGAGAGAGACGTGCCCCGCCGCCCCACGCGCCACGCTCCCGTCCCACATGTCCTCCACGCTCATTCACTTACCACCTGATAAATTACGACTATTCCACTAACTGATACTTTGATGATAACTCTCTTAGCTTTAGCGCGATTACCATATTAGTGAGCAGACGGTATTACGAAAGGAAACGGCTAGTGTTTTCACTGTCCAAAAATAGCGATGCCGGCCCATGTGCCATATTAATAGGCATGTTTTGTGTTACTCGCAAAGAGCGATGCTCACGCGAAGATACCTAACCTACTGAACAAAAGCAATGTGAAGGTAGAACCAATAATAGCGAATTGTAATTTTTCAAGATAAAATGTAAACCGCTCTATAAAACTTAGTTGGAAATCTAACATCTGACATGTTTCATGATCGGACTATATAACTTTGTACATTCTACAGTAGTACTAAAAGCCTATAAATTGCGTGAAAAATAACAATATCACGATTTATTAATTTAAATATGGGAAATGTATCGCATGCAGCCGCAGTCTATGGGCGCGCCATAGAGCATGACTAGGACAGAGAACGCATGCGCGCCGACGCGACGACGTCGACGGATGCCGCGAATAGCGCGTGCCGTTGTGTTTATTTACGTTCCCCTAGTTTTTTTTTTTCAATCTGTGAAATGCTGCGCTCGTAGCGATATGTATAACCATAAAAAACAATTCGTAAAACTCATCTGGATACAGTTTGAGCGTAATAGTAAGATAACCATATCGTTATAAGATTTTAAAGGTCTGCGCAGTATTTTAATACTTAACTGACACAAAATAAGTTTTAGCAACGTAGTTCCATTACAGACACAATAAATTCTATTCATCGTATCACCTGCGCAGCAAATCATATAACCAAAAAATGTTAAATTCCAAAAAAGAAGACTGCAATAAATTTTATTCAACGACACCATTAAATCTTGTTATCATCCATCCGGTCTTTCGATTGTCAACTAGTAAAACCAAATTACTATAGAAATCGAATACGTACAGATGTCGCATCTAAAATGGAGAGTGAAGTGAAAACATGAATACAAATGAACAGAGTCTCCATAATAATATTTTAGTGCTACGTAAAGTTCAAAATGAATCAATTGAACTTTATCCAGAATCTCTTACCTATATTATTGCAAGAAAAAACTCCCGAAATATGGTTTTGGAACATAGTAATCTAACTTATAGGCCTTGCTAGATTGTGCTTAGTATTGTCTAATAAGACCTTTTTTTTGTTATAAGAGAACGTGGCAAACGAGCAGCGGGAACACCGAGGTGTTCATCGACGCCCATGGACATCAGCAATACCAGAGGAACCGCAGATGCGTTGCCGACCTTTGAGATGGTGATAAGCTCGCTTCTCGAAGGACCCTAAGTCGTAGCGGTTTGTAAATACCTTATTCCGTTATTTTAAACTATTTTTTTTATGAACGTACAGTAAAGCCGCCTCCTCAAACACGACGCGTTAAATCATTTCCTCTAGGAAATGAGTAGTAAATAATGGTAGTTATCAAGTATGGGGTTGTAACCGCACCCATGCTCTGCTTTATTACTACCAACACCACGAGGTCAGTGACCGCCGCACCTCTGAAGGGTATACTACATCGTTAACGTTTAGTAATGTTAAAGCTTTTCTAACCTTTAAATAAGTTTAATACTAAATCTCATCAGCAGATTAGAAAAACTACAAGAAACTTTTTGTTATTCTTATTTTTTTTACTTCAATATGACAGGACAACAATGACTTTATGTCACTCAAGTTGATATTTTGGTGTAAATTTATTGAAGCAAATGTAAAATCTTCAATGTGATCTGTGTTATTATTAATTAATTATTATCTTTTTCTTATATATTTTAAACATAATTCAAAGTTTCCTGTTTTCGAAGTTATATAGAGGTTAAAAACATATGACATTTACTGACAATTTCATTTCTATCACACTTATTATATTCCCAGTTTAGTGTCTTTAAAAACATAATGACGGAGTTAACTGTTGGCGATGTAAGAGATTTAGAAGCGGTTGACATTTTCCTATTCTCTAATGGCGATCATAACACTCCACCGAGGAAGTATCATCTGAATACAGATGCATTTGTGATGTGGGATGACACACTGAAAAGCTTGGGGCGATCACATTTCGGAGTTGAGTAAGTTATCCTTTAAATACAATTAACAAGTGTTATGGATAGAATGAATTCAATCGATATATACCAATAACATTTTGAAGGTCACGGAGAATATTTGATATCCATTATGCAAAAGGACAAAGGCTGATAAATAAATAAACACAAAGTTGAAAAGAACAAACAACGGCAAAACCACCTCCATCTTTCGACCACATCATCACTTAACACTAGGATCGTAGTCGAGCAATAGCTTATTCAATATAAATAAAAGTTTTAAATAGTGGTTAAAGGTTTACGAAATGTTTCGAAATTAACAGATATGATGAATAACGAGAAGTATGACGATGTTGCAGTTATGTTTATTGTTTGCAGTGATACTGTTATAGACATTTATACTATTAGTGGACATAAAATTGACGACCCTTCACAATTGATCCATCAGGCAGCGTACGTAGCCGTCAAACCTCCCGCGCCGTTCATGCAAACCGGATATGAAAACTATCTGATCAGGGCAACTAAGTGAGTTTGAAAATTTCCAACTACGTACTTCTTACTTATAAACATTATTGGTTAAAATCATTTAGAGCTAATGGTGCGCTTTCTTACCAAGTCAAGTGTCAGATTGATTAGCGCAAGGACATAAAAGTTGGCAGTTGATACACCGGCACAGTGTCGGATTTTCTTCCTAACATTACTAATATTATAAATGCGAAAGTTTAGATGGATGGATGGATGTTTGTTTGAAGGTATCTCCGGAACGGCTTAACGGATTTAGATGAAATCTGGCACAGATGTAGAATATAGTCTGGAAGAACACATTAAGTACTTTTTTAATTCCACGTGGACAGAGTCGCGGGCGACAGCTAGTAAAAAATAAATTACATGTAATTTTGACACATCCCTAGACACTATGGTCGATTTATCTGTTCCTAGCGACAGAAATAGCGAATTTATGCTGTTACGTTGTTTTAATTTGCAGGTCGTGGGAAAAGAGGTTATTAAAAATATCAAATAGCATGGACTCAGCAACAAAAGGTCCTCGTTATCATTATATATAATTACAAAGAAACATATTTTGTTAAAAATTAAAAGGCTAATTTTATATATAGTTCATAATTAGTTGAAAATAGTTATTTTCAGGTAACACTGAATGTGTTTTAAAAAAATCACAAGTTAATAATGAAAATTATGGCCATAAAAAGAAGAAAGAAGTTGTATGTATGATTAAATCACTACTACAAATTCATAGTTCTTAAATGGTTTTTTTTATTAATTCACGTTGTTCGCGTATTTTACAGCCAAACCCAGCGGTTGTAGATAAACTTAAAAGAAGTCTAGTAAAACCTTATATCGTTAATTTAAAACCACCCCAAGGTCGAGAAAAAATAAGTAAAAGCCCTGATCTTAAAAGAAAGAAAACTCCACAAATTGCACTTCGACAGAAAAGTAGTCCTTTTAAAATAACATCAGCATCCAAAAAAGTGCTAATTAAGACAAAGGGAGATTTCAAGAAACTACCTAATTTAAAGAAATTGGTATTAGAAAGTTCTAAACAAAAAGATTTAAATAATAGTATTAAAGAAAACCAAGACAACCGGATGTTTTCATCAAATAATATAACAAGTTTTAATGTCGTAGAAAGTGTAATCAAAAATACCAATCGTTCTGGTGAAAAAATTAGTGCACCAAAAATAAGCTATGAAAATGTGGATGATAAAAAAAATAACGCTACACTTAATGGCGAGAAAATAATAATATCAAATATTTATAAAAATCCAGAAAAGGAATATCTATCAATCACTGGAATAAAATATGATGACGCACCAAATGATGTGGAAGTTGAAAACAAAAGTTTATCTTACGCTGATATGAAATGTATAAAAACATGTTGCACTTGTAATAGTAAATCTAGTAGGAAATCAATAATTCACACAGAAAAAAATAACATGGAAACGTCTGAAAATGATACAAATTCTGAGGTGCCTGTTGAAATTCAAACGTGTATAAATTGCTGTGAAACACGAAAACAATTAAATAATTTCGTTGCTATTTTAAATAACGACAAAGTGCTAAAGTTGCATTTAAATTTAGAAATTAAAAACTGTAGCGTATCTGTAATGTCGGATCAATTAAACGGTACAACTACACACGAAACACAAGCTTGTGTTACCATAATGAAAACTGAGAAAGAAACTCAAGTGAATTTTTATGAACAGTTAAATGAAGAGATTTTCGAAGATATAAATGAAACAGAATATATACATCAACATTTAGATAACGAATTACAAAATATAATTAAAGATGACAACAAAATTGTGATTATTAATTGTTCTTGTTGCGATTGCGTTAATTTACATCATTTGCCACAATTTAATGTCAAATACAAAAATACTTGTAATGAAGACATTTTGTACAAATTAGCTTCAGCATTAGAAGCAAATAAGTAAGGGAAACCCTCACTTTAAAAATTTTTTTAATGATAAATATAAGCAGATTTTTGTTAATTTACTAATATTTCTTGTGACGAGAGCGAAAGCGTGCCCGTGGTCCCGTCCCGAGGCGTTGGAGGAACAGAGAGGTTTAGTGGGTATGCCTCCGCTATGGAGGAGAATCCCACATAACCTCGTCCCCCCCGGGGCGCGGAGTATGCATAAAGCATTCTTCTCTGAAAAAAAAGGATAAGACAATGATAGAATGGCGGGATTCGAACTCTCGACCACATGACCGTACCATAACTATTAGGCCATTGGCGATTCATATTGTACTGTATCAATTTGTATATCGATTTCTCTTTTATGTCTAATTGTGTGCTGAAATATTGTAATAATAAAATTAATCTTAAATTTTTAGATGCGAATGCAGAAATAATATACTAAATACGCAGCAAAAAATTAGTCCTAGCTCTAAAACAATAGCTACCAATAATTACGAGGAATGTGAGGAAAAAACATTAACAATAACGTCCGTGCAAAAACTTTTATGTAGTCACGAAACTAATACGTGTAATGATAATTTAAATAGTGATGAGGTAATATTAACTAATCACAATAAAATGTACAACATCCTTATAACGTTACCTAATCTTACTATAATTACAAATACGAATGTTTGGATAGATGGATGTTTGTTAGAAGGTATCTCAAAAACGACTGCATGGATCTTGCTGAAATTTGACACAGATGTAGATCAGTGTCTGGAAGAACACATTAGCTACTTGTAAAGTCTTAAATCCGACAGCTAGTAACTAATATAAATAAAGTAGATAAGGTTTTTCGTAGTAAATTATTTTCATCAAATTTTTTTACAGTTTCCAAAATTGATAGTTGCCATTGACGAATATTCAAATCAAATGTCACAAAAACCGGATAATTTTATAAAATTCGTCAACAGCAGCACCCAAACGACTTGGTATAACATAATGGTTAGTATTTATTAGTGTTATATGAATTATTATTTCCGAAATTATAATGTGTATATTATGATTAAAAAATATTTTTTGTTGTAGTTGGAAGCAAGACATCGTACGGATGGTCGGTATAGTTTCCATTTGCCGCCACTTTATAAAATTAAAAATTACAACATCGATTGAAACGAAATTGTAGTTTTATTTTTTTATTTTTATCTTTCTAGTATCTTAGTTATTTACATATTAAAAATAAGAAAACAAATGGCAACGTAATGGCGGACTTGAGCTTTAATTTAGAGTTGTTGATTTTCATTCCATCCTTATAATGCTTCAGTTTACCAGTAAGTATGTTTAAGGGTTTCTGTCCCATATACTTTAGTTGCAAGTCAGTGAAATAACGTAAATTTTGCGCGTTCATTATCTGCATTACCTGGAATTAATAATTTCCGGCAATGTTGGTCGTTTTCACTTTAAGCTTTTTCTTTTTAACATTTTAAATGTAGTGTGTCTTACGTGTGCAGTTATCCCGGCTATTGCTTCTGGATTAATAACACTTAAGTCAGGTCCGTCCACTTCAGCCAGAAGAAGACCCAAGCGCGATACGTCACGCGCGTTCCAACTGTACGACTTGCCAAGCGCCTGCGAGTAATTTTTTTGCAATAATATTATCCTTCAAAATTTCTAGTGCTCAAAAAACAACTACGAAGTATAATCCGTACTTCCGTGAAATGCATAAATTAATTCCTATTATAATTTATCTCTCACCTGACTTTTTGTCATCATTGCCAAATAAAACCGCCGCTGAAGAGGATCACAAGCGCGTATGTGATAAAATAGCTATGGATCATTTAATATATTAATAAGTTATTTTGCTATTTTCCTTTGTCAGGGATTTGCGTTTTTGAGTTTTTAATCTACCTGATGTGTAAGTTGTAGGTAAGTATTCTCAGGTAGTCTTCGCATATATGTCATCGGAACTCCGCACAGCAAGTTATTCATCAAATTTAGATACTTCGGCTCGGACCAATGTCGGTTGAGCTTTATGTATTTACTTGCAACAACGCCTACCTATATCAAATAACAAATTGCGTAATTTACGTTTTGCATCAATTCTTTCTTACGAAATGGTACCGATTGAAAGTGTTATTTTGGAAAAGCATAGTTTTGTTGACTCACTTGGTGCCTGTTCAAATCGGCATGTGTTCCTATATAAATCAAGATTCGATTGTCGGTCAAGTTAAGCTTAGCTATCTCCTTTCCGTTAAGGTATTTGAATAAAGGTCGATACAGCTCTAAAGTCTGTATCGTAATCTCTTCGTTCGGTTTGTTTTCTTTGACCACGGTCCAGGTTGCTGCTAGTTTTTCCCGAGCTATGTTCATCATCGCGATGGTTCTAGCCTTAAGAAATTAGAAACTTTCATTTTAATGAGCGTTAAATCGGTTGCAATCAAATGATTTGCTGTATAATAATTTAAATTGCGATTAGCAGAAAATTCTGAAGTCAAGAAGTCGCTATTGCCGATAACACTATAGTCATAGATGTTAATAATTAATCTGTTTGCTTCTTAATTTTAAACAGTTCTACATATAAAACTAACAGAATGCAGCACATAAGTTGGCGGTAGTCTTAAAATGTCATTAAGATCGCCCTCCAGGAAGATGGCGAACGCGTCGATGGCTGTCTGCATAAAGTCGTTGGTCACGTTGAGGCGACAGCGTCCGCGATACATGTACTCCGACATGGGGAGGTGCACGCCGCTCTTGTTCTGGTATAGCTCTGCACTGTTGACAAACTGCTGCTCAGAAGTTTGATCTTTAAGGCGTCTACAGATTTCTCATGCTATGCTGCATGCTTCATGCGCGGTGGATGGTTTCTTCGCTATAAGGTTTCCGGAATAGACAGGTAATTATGTATTTTCAATAAGAGAAGACGGCAGCGATATATATCAATAGATGCATAGTACCGTGAACTAAAAACTGTACTGAACTGACAACTAAAAACTTATTTAAGTATAACTACTATGTACTAGCCTATTTACGAGCGTCGGCGGGACAGGGGTTTAAGCACTTGACTGGTAATCTGCAGGTCCTGGGTTCGAATCCCGCCATGAAACAATGTATTTTTCGATTTACATATTTACATTTATCCGATGTTCTTACGGTGAAGGAAAACATGGTGATGCAACCAGCATATATCTGAGAAGAAATTCAAAGATATGTGTGAAGTCAACTAACCCGCACTGGGCCAGCGTGGTTGACTATGGCCCAACATAGTCATCCCTAACATTGGGTAGGACCTCCGAGCTCCTCAGAGGAGACGTATAGTGAGCGAATAACGAACTATGTACCAGATTTTATTAAACCCAACTAACCGCAGCACATGTCCTGTTGGATACTGATACGGGATGCTCTTGTTCTTGTATCCAATCAAACGGGTTTTCTTTTTGTCTACTAATTTACAATTTCATTAATTAGTACATATATCTTAATTTAACATTGTTAACTAATATACATACTTTGATTCTTAGGCGGTGGGCCATATATATATTTATTCAAGATATCTTGAAACATCACCATTGGATCTGAAATCGAAATAAATAACGATTTCTGAAAAATACACACATAATAAAGAACAACAATTATAATATTATAGAAAACTCATCAAGAATTTCGACGAAAGCAATCAAAAGTAAATCTTTTGTTAAGATATGTGTGAAGACAACCAATCCGCACTTGACCAGCGTTGTTGCCTATAGCCTATTCACCCTCAACTTAGGGTAGGCTCCGAGGTCTTCGGTGGATGTATAGTGAGCTGATGATGATTATTTAAATGAAAACTTTCAAGTTTTTATTAATTTAAATCTAAGCTTTAATCTTAATATTTATGTTATACGTAACACCAAATAAATTATTAAGGTATACAAAGGGTACCATTTTCGACAGAATAGCTCAAAGTCGTTGCCTCCTCGTATATTTTCGACTTCTTATTTGTCATAGTCACATTAGGTTCTTGATATTCATAGCAATCTGTGTCTGTAAAGATAATATTTTCACATTTTTCAATAACGATTTACAACTACTTAAGTATGCTATGCTAAGCAACCTTGCTAAATGTATATTGTCTTAGTTTTTCAGTGATACTGGACGGAATGTCTCGGCCATGAAAACCCATGGAAATTTAAATACATATCATCAACCTGCCCTTATCCCTATTGAGGGCGGCACAGTATATACTTCTGCATACACCTCGATCAGCCGTCATATCGGAACCTACACTCTTCCTTGGCATATCCTCTTTCACACAGTCATTCCATACTTTTTTGATCATCCTCTACCTTTTTAGTATTCAATCTTATTATTTTTTTGCTTGTATCATCATCATCCCTCCGCATATATGTGATATTAAAATTAAAATGATTTACTGCTCGAATTAGACTCCTTCTGTTCCGATATTGTGAACAAAACATTGGTGTAACCTTTTGTATTTGAAACTAATATTAGTAACAACAAAATATATTGTAACATTATTACTTTGTTGAAATGAATGAAATATTATCAAATCACGTAAGCCACGGTTTTAAAACTTTCAGTTGTCTCTAAATAATTTAAAAAAGTAGCCAAAGCAATCATGAAGTTATTCTATGGTTCATTATTCATAGGCCAACTGGCTTAAGACTGTTAGGCCTGAAAACTAAAACGCCAGTTATCGGACAGGCTGGTTTCAGTGGGTGTCTACATTATGCCAGTTGCATTCCAGCACTGATTTTGAGTGCTGGCTTAATGAGCTGGCCTAATGTAAACAATACATTACGAACAAAAAAACGTGATATATAAATGTCAAAATCAACCATAAACAAATGTCAACTTTGGTGCCATTTCAACATTGACAAATCTATGCAATGAAACTATACTTTTATCTGTTGGTATAAAATTTCAAGTATCTTAAATTTTTCAATGTATTCAATATCCAACGATGAAAATGATTATTATGCAGGATATTACTACGATTCGGGCTATAGAGGTGCAGAAAATGTTCCATTCTATCCCTACGTAGGAGCTCAACCTCTCGTATACTATAGCCATATTGTAAGTTTATTTATTTTTCATATCAATAAGTACTTATTATTTATAATCATAGTAATCTATTGTAAGATTTTTATACGTTAATGTCACATTTAAACAGGCCGAAAATCCTCTGCCCCAAAGAAATAAAATAGCCAAGAAAAACAATCCTAACTGTTTCGTGAAAGCTTTCCGTTGGTATACTCAGGTACAAATCTGTTACTTTATTAATGATACAATCACTATAATTAAGGAGTAATAAAGCTGATGCTTTAACGCTCTGACCGAGGGTTTGGGACACCAAAATCCCGGTATAAAACATATCGTCATCCCAGTCATTTAACAAACACAGAGATAACAATATGATTGAAACGAGACCAAAATGTCTCAGAAGCCCACGGTAATTCTACAAACTTCTTATGAGTTTTTTAAATCCTTCCTACTATTTAAACCGCTAATTATCATTAAAAATAAAGGCATATAAAATCACAACATGTCATAAAACTACAACGTAGTATTAAATAAAGTTCAATGAACTTATTATAACGTACTTAGCAATATAATTTCTAAATAACGCATCCTATAGGAACTTCCATCTCCACAAATAGTGGCACCTTGCAACAACACGAACATAGGCGGATTCGCGACATGGCTGGACAAGAAGTACGAGGAGTATCTACAAGACAATCAGTGCGAAAACAACTGTTTACAGTACAGATCAAAACCATGTTCTTGTATCAAAAGTGATAGAACTATTAACAGGTAAATATTTTTAGCTGAAATTAATAAATATGATAGGAATAAAGGAGCTTTATGGACAAAATCTTTTCAGAATAGAGGATCCATCACGCAAAACAAGAAAGTTTCCAAGATTGAAAAGGTTAGATTTAACTGTTTGATTATGCAATTTTATTCTATACTATCGAATTAAAAGCAATATTTTCACAGCCCATGGAAGAAGAAGCGACGATATATAAATGAAAATGAAAGAGATACAGTATGTGAAAAGTTAGTATAGTAACCTTTTTTTAACAGCATTTAACTATTCCAATTCTTTTTACCTCCTTTAATTTGTTACCCTGTATATTTCAGACAGAGTTTTGAATTTATATTGCGGCCTCAAGATATGTCAAGACCTGCTTCTGAATGCTGCCAGAAGTAAATATATTTTGAAATTTTATACGATTTTAAATATTTTATTTCTTAAATTAATCTATTTTCTTTTTTACTTAAATTCAGGACATCTTATTGTATTCGATCCGACACTACTTTTATCACTTCCAAAAGTGCGATCCCGACAAATATTAAAAAGAAATCTAAAAGTTTAATGTGTATTTCAAAAACGAAGGATGAATTTGAGAAAGATATAATGATTACAAATTACGACGTCAGCCAATGTTATAAAAAACAAAACAGTGAAGAGAGATTACGAATTGCTCCTAATCCTACACCAATGAAAATAAGCACTAAAAAAATTATTTGTAATTGTTTTGATACCGATTTAGAAAAAGGAATGCATTATGATAATGTAGCTACTACAAGAAATCAAAGCAAATTAGTGAATTGCCAATGTGCGACACAAAAACAAGATGTTTTTAATAAGATAAGCTATAGTAAATTGCACGAAAATGTGCATAACATCAATGGAGGTAAAATTAAAACTCGAGGAAGTCGAGAAGAAAGTAGAATCGTTACAGAATATGCTGAAGTAACGAATCAAAAATTATGCTCAACTTCATCGAATAAATCAAAAGCTAAAGATGTTATCTGTGGCTGTGATCAGTTAGATTCAAAACGTTTAAGTTCATATGACAAAGTGGCTTCTAGAAGAAATCGTTACAAATCAGTCATATGTCAATGTTCAATGTCTAACTTTCTTAGTGACGAAGCTCGTTATCAAAACCAATGTAATACGTCGGAGGTATTCAAAAAGATGAGTCAAAATGACTTAAATAGAAATGAATACGACGACAATAAATATACTATTCAAAGACAAACGAGTACGGAAATGACAAGAGTTGTGACAAAATGTAGTAAACAAACAAATGAAACAGAAGATTGTAACTCAAGATCATATCGAAAAAATATAGATGTTATTTGCGAGTGTTACCAAGATAGTAGAAATATTAATAATGCTTTTAATCAATTTAAAGTAGCTCCAAAACTTCAAACCAAAGTGATTAACTGTCAGTGTCCTGAGAGTAATATTCAAACAAATCACGATCGTCAAGAATTTGAAAATATAGAACAGCAAATATGCAGAAAGGTAAGTAGTATTAATATTACTCATTGTTACCAAAAACTTGGTACTTTACCTCAATACTCTTCAATCCCTTAAGATGGAGAAGGCGTTTTTTTTTAGAACTAATAACGAAAATTGCAAAATCTAAACACCTTTATTATTTTAGACTACTCAAGAAAAGTTACATCAAACTTGCTGTCCCTGCCCCAAACCTTTGGATCCAAAGTTACGACAAGCACCACAAATTAGACGCTCATCTATAAATTTGAACGGAATGAAGACTTTAAAATACAAAGAACCTTTTAAATCGAAAGAATTACCGGTACATGGTGTCCAAACATCGGATCATTCGATACGATTTGTAAGTATTTAACTAGATTTTTAAATTGCTATAAAGTTAACGTATAATTTAAGTAATATTACAAAACAACGTGTTACTGATTTTAGCTTGAAGATTCATTTCTTGTAAAGATCGTATGAAAAAATACTTAACTATGTACGTTGCGTAGACTAAACACAATTTATTTAAATTTACTAGTTTTGTCAGCAATGAAGAGAAGACAGCAGGATCTATTACGTTCTTAAATTATTTTTCAATTATGTACAAGAAGTTTGGTATCGAATAAAAAAGAAATCATTTTAAATAATCATTTTATTTACAAAAATGTAAAATTTATTTAGACACACAAATAACACGTTTAATTCGGTGGACCGTAAGAAGTGGCTGGCTGTGTGTGAGGTAAGAAACTTAAACTAATTGCTCCTGTGTTCTGTTGTGGTTGAATGTTTGTTGAACTAAAAGAAGGCAGACTTCCTGACGAGCTAGATGCACCGGCAGAAGATGATGGACTTGATGAATACGATGACGTATCAATAACTCTATCCGGTGCAGCCGAATTCTGCACGAAGGATGTTATTTCTACACTTGGTCTAGCATTTTCCAAAGACACGCCGGACACTAGAGACAATAATCCGGCTTCTTTAGCAGACGTGTGCTCATTGTCTTTGATAATGTTTTGCACACGGTTAACAACTGTTGAATCGAGAACTTCGCTGTGCGTTTGACTCTGTGCAGCTGTGTTGTACTGATTTGAGTCCGCTTGATAACTGGATAGGGATGAGGACGGGAAATTGCTGAAAGTTTGGGTCTGTAATGGCAACTGGGATACAAATGGAGGTGATGATTGCGGTTGTTGGTATGCATAGCCTTGACCTGAATTAAATTGCTGTGCTATGGGGGAGTATTGCTGAGGTGCCACAAAAGCTGGGAGAGGTCGTATTGGTTCTACGGGAAATTGGGGTGCGTAGGTAAATGAGGGTTGAGCTTGGGGTTGAATGTAGGAAGGAATAGGTTGGTGGTAAATTTGTTGGGGTCGTGGATAACTTACTGGGAGTGATGGTGCATTATATGATATTTGTGGAGGAGATGGTTGCTGTATTTGTGGTTGTTGGTATTGAATTTGAGGGTAAGGTATCGGCTGCGCGTAATGGTATCCAGATTGAATAAAGTTAGGTTGCGGCGCGGGAGGAGCATGGAATGCTTGCTGCACGTGAGGGTGAGGTAGTTGGGGGAATGGCGCAGGCGGTGTGGGCGGTGGCAGTTGTGGGGGCGGCGCGGGATGCCCATAGTTGAAGGATGGCGCGTGGAAGGCGGGCCGAGGCAAGTGGTACGGAGCCTCCGCCGCTGCGGCTGCTAGCAGAGATATCACCAGTACCTGAAATTATTTGCATACATTTTATTTAACTGCTTATGCTCCTAAGCTTAAATAATCTGAGAGTTTGGAGACACTGAACACTATATGAATAGTTAATTCGTAACTTATTCCACTCGCTAATGGGTCAAGTCGCACTGTTTGTATTGTATTAGAAACTAGCCGGTCTCGGTGAACTATTGACTTTGAGGCACGTGTACATAATTTTCACTTTGTTGTCGTGTGCTCACTCACCGCGCTTCTCATGGCTGATGTGGGATTGTGTGCGACATGACCAACATTCTTACAGTTTTATACCCACCACCTCTACATGTGTACCTCCAAAGTTAGCGGTCGCGCCTACTTTTGACTACGATTACACAAAATTATTAAGATTTTGTTCGTAGCTTTGACCATTCGTATGACAATAGTTTTGTGACCCAAATTTTTAATTTAATTGTTATTTCATTTAAGCTCCGAGATAAATATTAGATTAGATGAGTTAATACCTTATACAGTTATTACCCTTAAGTGAATTTTGTACGTATTTATAATTTTATTGTATGTCTCAACTGGTCATTGTCATCCCTCCATTCTATTTGAAAAAATATATATATATATATCATAAAATAAAGTTAGCCGTTTTACAACATAGTATTGGTAATTTTTACAATAAGTATATTTATTGGATTTAATCTTTCACGGTCATACTAATGATGATGCAATCTAGTCGAAATATCACATGAAATTTGAATTATTACATCTATGGTAACATGTCTATTTCGTTTGATTTACAGTAAACAGCAAATCAAGCAGGTCCTAGGCAAGGTTAGACAAACAACGAAGTATTACTTTCGTAAAATCATGGCGAAAAATAATGTCATTGTAACTTGATAATTATTTTCGAAATATAAGTGTCGATGTATGAATGTTAAAAAGGATTGCTGTGGACCTAGCACGAATATTTGCGACAATCGAGCCAGTTTGTGCATCGCGTATCTAAGCGTAAAGTATACCAAGAATCTCATACTAATTTTAACGTGATTGTAGATGACGGTATGACGCCGCTTGTCGGTAATAATCGTGGTTATTTTCTGTTTTATAAAAGCAAAAATAAACCGGACAAATTAAATGTAATACATATTTACGCGATTTCTAATTTTTACGTTAGTAGTAGTAAAAAAAAATATCGTATTTTCTACTTCTACTTGCGATGCAAATTGTATTTTGCCTTTTGTTTATTAAAAAATCAGATAATTTGTCCACATTGGAACCATCATGCAAACCTAGTGTGTAGTCTGCATAATACAAACTGCGTAATACAGCTTTGTAACTCCGTAGACAGTAAACATTGCTTTGACCTGTAAGTAGCGTTGAATTGTGTGCTCAATACATTTATAGACACGTGCTTCGGAGACCTATGAAAGAAATGTTGAAGACATTGTCAATATACTAACGATGCAAGATAATCACAATGTCAATAGTATTAGTTCAACTAACTCCCAAGATTAGGGTTGTCAAAAACTAAATCTTGATGTTAAAGTTTTTTAAATAACTTTAATGTTTTTCTTTGCACCGACTGTCCGGTAAGTAAACTTTCGGTTTGCTATATTTCTTGTTTTTTGTGTCACTTAGAAAAGATTTAAATGTTTATCTAATTCCACTTACATACTATTGAGTTGCCAATCAGTATTACTTTTGCTTTAGGTCTAGGATTTGTCTACTTAATGTACTGTTTATTCTTAATTGACATTCAAACTTTATAGTACTCAGATCTTTCAGTATTTGAGTATGTTTCAAATTATTTAAAATAATAAATGTACATCGACAACCCTAAAATGATGTTTCCATTGCCAACTATTTACTTAACCAGAGTAGCCCAAATAGGGGCTATAGTGCAAATAATTAAGTAATAGTGAAATTCACTGGCATCGCCGCTAGGTCACGAATTTACACCTTCGTCTACTATCCATAGACCGCAAGCTGATAGTTAGAGCGGCACTTTCATAACAGACGGTCTTAGATAACAATTTGTATCCTATTTCGTCTGCATCCGACGTATTTCGTCATAACATATACATGTTATTCCGTTGCCGGACAACTTTTATTTGCTGTACTTTTTGGGTCATAATTAATATGGAAATCGTATTTTTCAAATAAAATGCTATTTACGGAATTAAAGAAAAATGTTAATTCATAAAACTATTTAATAAACTACCTACAATTTAATCAACAAAAACAAAACCATATTACTTTTAAATAATTTGATAAGAAATTATAACCTAATTTTTTTTCCCATTTCTATGTTTGTCAGTTTTCACTGGAGTTTGTGAAAGCGTAGTAAAAACTTGAAGCTACCGTTTTTCTATCCAATCTACGATTGGTTATATTATTGTTAATTTTATTTTATTTTTTAATGGGATAATCTTTGACGGGCTCCGGTGGCGGACGTCCTTTCATCCCCTTAATTTCCGCCTCACGTTGTTTCCGCTTTGCTACGATGCGATCGTGTGTGCGCTTCATTTCTAAGATTTCCTTCATCTCTTCCTTGTCTTCATCCTGGATATAAATAAAAATACATTTGTTTTACGATTTCTTACAAAATCTCATGACGCTTTTAGCTTCTAGTTACTTAATAAATATAATTTAAGATCCATTTGCTAATTTTTTTATATATTAAAAAAAAACTTTTCCCAAGCCGAAATCGCTACCTGGATGAAAAGTTCGTTTTAGTAGTTTACTTAAAGAGATGATGAGAGAATGGGATGGAACTTTTTAAATAGGTAGGGAAAAAAACTCGTAAACGCACCAAAGGAAATTGCCGCCATTTGTAACTGAAAAATCCGCAAGTGAGAATGGACTACTATTTTCTCTAGGTGCGAAATTATTATTTTACGCCGTTTAGTATTAAAAAGTCTCAGTAAAAGACAGAAAACCTTCTGATTGATCCGCAACACTAATGCCCTCTTCCCGTTTGCCATCGGTTGGCTGTACGTCAAGAGTTGCTTTAGCCTCTGCGCCGGCGGCACGCCACGCTCCACGACAAGCACAATGCGCGCCCATTGTCGCTGCCACTCGTTGCGTGTTTCTGCTATCTTTTGATACGTATTACCCATCATAGCTATCAACATGTTTACTAGGAGTATCGCTACTATTATCATATATAGTACGAACAAGAACTGAAACAAATAAAGGAGAACCAGAGGTACGTACAAAATGTATAATAGTTTGATGATAAGGTGGTCAATTTTAAACGAAATTAGTCGGAAACGATAGAATTTTCAGGACGAAATGGATACTTTCTTTTCCAGTTATTACATGCAACCTTTGATATTACGAAATCATGTGATCAATATATACTATGATTACTACTGCTTGCTTATTGCATTATTACATTGTATTTTACCTTTGCTTCAATTTCATGGTCAGTATGTTCAAATGCGCTATAATAGTCTGAGAATGACGTCAGTGACATAAGGAACATCGCCATTATGCTCTCCATGGGCGAGGGCATGGGATTTGAGACTGAATCATCCACTCCCTCCGGCGTGTTAGGATTGTCAAATGATAAAAATATTACATAGTACGCTAGAAAAAGTAAAAAAAAACGTTGAAAGGATAGTTATTCCGTTATAATTTGAGCACGAAAAAGCATTTAGCATCAACCATATCATACCTTGTGAAAAACCCATTACAAATACAAGGTATATGCAAACGAAACGCAAAAGATCACCCATCACCATACGATAAATCATCACAACGAAAGGGCCGACGGTTTTGAAACCCCTGTTGGAAATGCAGAGCTAAATTCAGTATTAGCATTAGGAATATAAAGCATCAACTGATGTCAAAAATTCATCACCAATTTATTACTTGAAATATAACTAGTCCGCATGATAGAATAAATTCTGTGTCTTGAAACTAACCTGCAAAAGAATAAGAAATAGGGGGCGGTAGTGAGCATGATAATGACAGCTACGTGATCCTCCTCCTCATCAGCACACCAGAGTCTCAAAGTTGGCAACGCCAGCATTAGTAGACAGGAGAATAAAAACATAACCCTTAAATTACACAATATCATTCAGGCTCTGCGTCAACAATGATCTTAATTTTTTAAGCATTCTTATTGAAGATTGGATCTTAAGTACCTTGAAGGAACTGTGCTTAGATTTTCAAAGAACATCTTCAATCCTAAAAATCTTGCTTCTCGTAATGCGGCTCCAATGTAAGCTAAAGCTCCCACCCACAACAGCAATTCCCCGGAAATTCTGACCTGTAAAATTACATGGTTATTAAATAAGTATTATTTTGCAAGTAAAGCTGCACTACAGGCGTTCACATTGAAATAATTCAGATAGAAAAGACTCACTTTTGCTTGCCAACTATCAAGATTCATGAGTCTACACTCTTCAGTAAGATCTTCCCACCAGCCCTCCATGTCGTTCTCTCGACGTGGTTCTGTTTATTAAAAAAATATAATATATGTTATGGTTTTACTAAGTCAAACTACTAACAAGTTCTAAACATTTGCAAACAAAAATACATATATTCTTTTGTTACAAGTAAATTTGTACGGCTAGTTTTCGTAATTACTATAAATCCAGTGATTAAAAGAGGAAATTACTTTTATCTTTATCCTTGGGATGACTCTTAAAACGGCTGCAGCGCGGACCGGGCTTACTAATATTCAAGACCTCTACAGCACTTGAGTCGAACTCTCCGCCATTTATAATCGTACAATTCTCTGTAAACACATACCTTGCTGTAATTTAGTACAAGTAGCATAAAAGCTTGCTGTACACAAGTGTTTAATAGTGTTGTAATTACTGATAAATCTTACCAACATCTGAAGTAGCTTCTGTAAAGTTTATGTTATGGACAGCCGTAGCGTTTAAAATGGTGGAGTTGGCGGATCGTTCCGGCGGACCCGGGCGTAATGTAAAACAAACCAATGAAACCAGGAAGTAGAAGGAAAAGAATATAAAACGGCGGTAGAAACGAAACTTGACGAACGTGTTCCATTTGGTCTTCAACAGATCGATCAGCATGCCATCTAAGAGCTCCAAATGTTCGTCTTTTTCCTAAAATTGTTGATACAGATCTTGTCAGAATTAAAATAAGCAAACTAACCGAACAACTACAATTTTACAGCCAATGGCATAGAAGTATCGCGACCACCTGGAATATAGACTCATAATTATCTTGAAATCAGTTTGGTCTATTGCCTCCTTCCACTTAAATACTTGATTAATTTTCTGCTATAAATAAAAAGACACAATAATAAGACAGTCAACTTACACCGAACACGACCAAATTGAGTGCTGAATCCTTGCAGATCAATCCAGTTTCGGTATCAATGGTGTCAACCAATCCGAGCGGGTAGGCGGCGCACGTGGTTGCTCCTATCTGCCAGTAGATCTCACGCTCGATGTTCAGGATGTGAACAAACAGCTCAATACGAGCCAACTTCGCAGCCAGGGTTAGAGGTGTCAGGTTTAAAACGTTGCGAATGCTTAGTGACGCTCCCACCTCGTATGCCATGTCGAATGTACTCTGGAAATTGAAACATGTCTGAAACTTGACTAAATGTATTACGGATGTAAGAAGAATTTCTATTGCAATAGATGAGAAAATATAGTACTTGATAATTAGATTATAGAATTTTTATTACTTGATTTAATTAAACAATTTAATATGGTTACCATTTTGTCGTATATAATGAGCATATGCAGAACAGTATTGCCATTAGTGTCTTGCTTATCAGGATCTGCTCCTCGCGCGAGGATGAGTCGGTAGCACTCCTCGAGGCCCAGGCAAGCCGCGAAACTGAGTGGATACTCCCCCCAGTAAACGTAGCTAAAAATATGGTTAAAAGCTCTATAATGCATATAAAAGATTATGTGGTGTTAAGCTCAAATCCATCTTCCGGAACGCTAGAAAGTACAAAAAAAAATTGGAACGACGATTTCAATTTTGACTATATTTTGAATTTTTCCTTTATTTTTACACATTTTTACAACAATTCAACACAATATTCAAGAACTACGCGGCGACAAGCATCACGTATCACAGAAAAAATTACATTAAACGCTCTCCGAAGGCCCCCTCATATAATGATGGATGGTACACTTAGGTGTTCAAATGTGTTCGTATATTCCAAATCGTTTTACTTCGTATCTAGCAAAAGCACTCCAACTTAATGTATGCTTACTTTAAACGTTTCAAAGAGTAAATCAGTCTTAAAAATAATTTAAGCACTACATACTAGAAAAGAAATACAAAAAAAGTTAAAATATGATCATAAGAAAACAGTAAAAAGATTCAATACAAACATGGGATCTTATTGGCACCAACTCAAATATGTATATTTTTACTACAATTACAAGTTACTAAGCTAATAATAAAATTGGAAAAACCTAATTTTATTTATACTTATTTCCTACTTGTTATTTGCTTATTTAAAAAAAAAATCTCTATCTTTATCAAATGATCCTCATCACCATCTCGGGTTATTCCACAGCCGGAATATTTTAGCTTTTTGACGCGACTTAGCTATAAAACACTATTTTAGTACCCGTCATAGTTGGTGTTGGGCTGAACATTAACCCATTCGTGATCGAGGGAGTCAGAGCGTGAGGCTTTCTGGTCTTCTGGACACATAAAGTTGCCGTAGCATCGCTCGTGGTAGTCCGCGCCTGCGTCCAGCAAAAACTTCACCATAGTCAAATCCTCATTCACTATCGTCATATGGAGTACGCTCTCACCTGAGAAAACAAATTAAAAATCGATAAAATGCAGACCATCGTGAAACTTTGCATATTCTATTCTTCGTAATTTTACTGGCAATTTTCACTGCTGAAACATGTATAAAAAGGGTTCTCTGTTTTATGAGAGAGAATAAAAGATACGATAATATGACTGAAAGTTGGCAGTGTAAACACACAATTAAAAACAATATGGACCGAGATTTTGGTTTCACGTGAGAAATAACCAAGTCATCTAGATATTAATCATTTTAATCTATCACATTGCGAGCTTTTTTCGATACTTAATGGTAAAAAATAAAAGGTAAAAAATAGTATAAAATATGTGTTGAGTTTTTGTAATAAATTTTCGCTTTATCTTCGAGAAACTTTTATCAGCAGCTCTATCAAATTGATCCCATAAAGCATTTAAGGCCAGAAGGTCAATTTATATTAATTCGTGTAACGGATAACGGAACTTTATGTAACGTCCTAAACGATATTGATAGGGACTAGTATGTCTTATAGTCAGCTAGATGTTATAATAAGGCCTTTTTCATTGTCTCCTAATAAAACATTATAGGAAAAATCTAGCAAGTTCATAATACAATTTTCATTAGTTTAGGGTTGGGAAGAAAGTGATAAACTGTATGTTTATAACCGAGACAGTTTCCCAATTCAAATTATTAACCTCCATTCTAGAGTTTGAATCAATTATTTGAAATGTGCATACCATAGTATTCATCGCTCATATACACATCGTTTATCAACTTCGGATAGAATCGCAACAGTCTCTTCGCCAAGTCAGAGTGTAGAGATGTAGCGTTCAAAAGGCAGATATGAAGTACTGTTTCACCCACAGCCCCACGCTCCTGCAAAACAATACACAGAATGTAGCAAGCTGCAGAAATTATAGATTTTTGCTTAGTAATATTGTTCCTCATATCCATTAAAATTTTATTATTCACTACGTTACTTTCAAGTCCCAACACAGCTCCCTATAACCTGAAGGATTTGCGTCATATTCTTCTTGTGTGACCACAGGCCAATCCTTTTCTACATCAAATTCTTCATCCGGATTTTCCATACCTCTTAACGGTGGTAACTAAAATGTAGTAAAAATTTCAAATTAACCCACCTGCATTTTCTGGGTAATATTAAGTATTTCCAAAATTTAAAAATGTTTTCTCCACCTTTTATAACAAACCCACTTACCAATTTATGCCTAGGTCTTTCCTTATTTCTCAGCAGAACGATATGCGATATTGGACAGTAGCGTCCTTTGCCTTTATTGTACAGGAATGGTTCCACTTTGGTTTTAATGGCGTGATCAATCTCAGCATACTGTTTGTTCTGCACAGCTCTCTTCATCATATCTACCAGTAGACCGCCACCTTTAAACACTTTCCTTTATAATGATGAATGCAAAATAACAAATTACATTAAACCACTATTTTGGTTTCTTTTTCTGCTCAAGTACGTGGTTTAAAGTGTTAACGCCTAGGAATCTTCCTCAAGGTAATTCCAATGACAGCAACCTTCTATTTTTAAAAAATGTCTTTTTTTTAGAAACATAAATCATGAAATACCAACGTTTATAATCCCAACCAGATAAATAATAATCAATTCTCACGATAAATCTGAAAATAAAATCCATCTTACCTTTTACGTCGACGAGCTTATAAAGCTTTTGCTCCGATGTTCCCGCTTGCTTCTTCACACCACTCGTTACATTACTCTCTGTGTTACCCATTGTTAACTTTTTTTATCTATTTAATTACTAACTACTAGTAAGTGGTCTGATTATGAAATACATTCGTTCGGAAAGAATTAACCTCACCAAGCTGAAAACTATTGATATAACGAAGCGGTTTCCATAACTACTTCAGTGGCTTTGATTCCGTGTAACATTTTACATGGTACATACTTAAATTCATCTATTGATCTTTGGTACAAATGTGGATAGTGAAAATGTACTAAGTAAAAACTTATCCAGAATGTTATGTCTATTAGGAGGGGTCAAAATGAAATCATAATATTTGCGTTTTTATTATTTTAATTGCACGTAAAGATATCTGGCATTAGAAAAAGAAATTGTCTTACAGGTTATTTATTCGGCTGTCTTATAATGAGGTAAAAAGCTTCAGCTAGACTTAATACTGATGCACTGAAGAACAATCCAAGCATCCCTCCAACAGTCACTAGAAACAAATACAATGTGTAAAACATTTAACTTTGTTTATCATTCTAATTAATAATTGTGCCATCTAGGATAATTTCCAAAAACAAACACACAAAGGTTCCAGTCTACTTGCTAATATAGTAAACTTACCAACTAAATCCAAGTTATTGCGCAGTAAATTTTTACGATAACGTAAAGTAGGCAAGGAGATCATTCGAATATTAATAAGAGATCCTCTCTTCGCTTGCTTCGGCACGCGCCGCCTGTTCATTAAAAAGTTAATACATCGACGGAAAAAAACAAAATCAAAAAAAGGTTTTAGTCTGTTCTACGACAAGGCTTAGCTTGGTGTTAAATGTTATTACGACTTAACACAGTCTTATAAATATCAATAGGTTGGTTCTGGAAGTTTCGATGTTTTAAAGATTATTACTCTTTTTGGCATCATATTATACATGTAATTACTAATTCCTTACATTGATGTGTGAACTACAGTTAACTCGCTTTCAACACACGAGGGCAAGCAGCTGTCGTTATTGGCCTTGTCAACACCAAGCTTTATTTTTTGTCCTGAAAACAAACATTATAACAATACAGTTTGTTGTTGTTCAATTATTTGAAAATTTAATTTGAAAATTCCGGTTTAAACTGAAATAAACTAGCACCTTCATAAGTAACCAAACAATTTATGCCCGTGTAATTGCAATACAAATGTTCATCTGAAAAAAGGTTAAAATTAAAATAAATCTTATTAAAATTTATAGTAAGTACTAATTTAATAATTTTTACAAGATATGTGTCTGACAGGATGAACACAACCGCACTGTTGGTAAGATCTCTCTGTGTTTCTTGCGAGTCTGCATGCTCCGGTGGAGTAAACCTGCCAAAACGTTAATGTTTCTTATTTTAACATATGGTAAACTATCAAATGACACAAATATAAACATAATACTGTATTATAGAGTAGAAATCATGAGTATTTAATGTTAGGAAGAAAATCCGACACTGTATCTGCGTAGCAGCGCAACACTAGACTTATTAAAATATCAACGTTTATGTCCCCTCACTAATCAATCGGACACTTGACTTGGTAACGAAAACACACCATTCTCGCCAAAGGCTACTAAGTAATAATGTCTAAAATTAATTACCTACAATCAATGTAAGGCCATAAGTTCTTTTCAAAGGACTTTTTCTATCACGATTTAATCAAAAACGATTTTAATGTCTTCTAAGTTAATTTTGCTTACCGGATAAGCATGCATTAATCCGTTTGGTATTTCCTTAAGGTATCTACATCCTCTGACATTTGCCGTCTCGAATTGTAAAAGAGGATCGTTATCTACTTCAACAATAGAGAATAAGATATCAACATGATTATGATAGTTCAAATCGACGTCTACTTTAAACTTATTATCCAATAATTTGGTTGACAATTCTTCAGGGCTATGTATCGATATCTGTCCGTTAAATTAATATATTAGTTTTATTTATAAAGCTTACAAAATTTTAAAATAAATATGAAAATCAAAAAGTAAGAGGTAAATTACTTGAGCATCGGACAGTAAACGAAATGTCAATATTCCAGGACCTGTGCTTTGATTCACGCTAAATAACTTATCTAGGTTATGTTCCCTGTAAAATTTAATAGACATTAATTTATAATATAACCACTTTGTACTTCAGGTAGTTTGGTAGCTAAATCACTATAATCAGAACATCATAATGAAATTGAGAAAACACATTTATCACCCAACGAATTAACGATATGACGATTAACCTTATCATCATTGTTGTGAAAATTGTTAAAGTGTACGGACATATTGTAGTGCTTACATGTGTTGTAGTGAGTTGAACGAGATGCCAGGACCGGACTCCGAGTCCACTGAAAAGAATTTATCACAGCAACGGAACTGTTTGTGATTGAAATTGCAATCTGTGATTAGTTCCTCGCATTGCGTGTGAACCTAAAAAACGTAAGTAAGATACAGTTCATATTCCTTGAATTATTTAATACTGTATATTAGGAGAGTTGCATAAATTAACACTATAGTCTTAACGACAGTTTATCTTTCGTCTTTTCATACAATCGATCATTAAGACATCTCACGAACATGATAATTACGTTTTCAATATTCTAAAGTATTTTATGATAAAAGATTAGCGACATAATAAACGATAAAATATTCAATTGTCTAAAGAGAAATGTAATGGTTTGTAATATTTATAATCTTCAATGTTACCAATACTTCAAAAGTCGTTGCTACCTAGGCCTTTAACAAGTGCGGTTGAACGACAGCCCACGACGCTGAAAAGAACCGTAACTGCTTAACCCATTTGAGTTGAGCAGTTGCAGTTGAGAGTGGAGTCTCCAACTAAAATAATTCCTAAATTACAATATTATCTTACGTCATTAATAATATCGCGCCAAGGTACGTTGCAAGGAACAGCATCGCCGCATGGTAGGCAGGTAGCCCGGGTGCATGAACCCACTCCGAATAACACGTCTGTCAGATATCTTCGATAATCGTAGCTCAGGTTGTTCACAAAAGCAGCTGATACAGATATAAATAATATAATAAAAGCAATGTATTTAACTACAATTTATTGACTATAGATTCTGTCAGCAATTCGCCTTAAAGAGATACTTTAAAATTCAAAATACTCTTTTCTGAACGCAGTTCCACTTCCACAATAGTGTTTAAAACGTATCTGAATAATAAAAGAATACTTTACGGTATCTTGCTGCCAGTTTCTTCTGTGTGGTCTTAACATTATATGTCTCGAGAACAGTCACAGCTGGAAATACCGTGTTCCAAGTCAAGTAGAGAGTGTTAGGAGTGAAATTGATTTCAACACCGACACGTAAAACTTTCCTCAGTAAAAAATAAAGGCAACCACTTAAAAGAACAAGAGTGATTGCCCAAAATAATCTGTAGGAGAAAGGATAAATGCTTATTTTGTAAAATAATAAATTACGCTTTTTTGTTTTCCAAAATACACACCACAAAGAACCCAGTAGAAAATATGTTAAGTTATAAAAAATGAAATAACTATGAAGTATTTTATGTCAAAAGGCGTTTTTTATTAAAACCTACCTTTTGAAAATGCTAGCTTGTTTTTCAAAGACAAATTTCAAACCATGGATAGAGCTGTTACTCCCAAGATATTGACATCGTTTTGAAAAACATTTAACACTTCTGCATATCCATAATTTCAATTCGTCCATTTCTAACAATGGAAAAACGTTTTAGTGTTTCTGATTATACATATGTACTGAGAATATCTGTATTTTAGTTTTTTTGTAATAAAAAAAATAATTTCGCGTGTTTAATTAACTAAAAGCATTATGCTGTTTGTATTAATATTTTATTGTTTACATTTTAAATCCTACGTGAATTAATAATAAATAAAAGGTGTAATTAAACTTTGTTACTGATTTTTAAACAGAAATATAGATTTGTTTATCCATTTGAAAAATGACTACTACGAACACACACAGCACGTTTTTTTTTTATATCATAAGGCGGCAAACGAGCGAACGGCCACCTGAAATCGCTGAAGTAGCGAAGTGACCGTTGCCCATAGACTTACGCAATTGCATATGCGTTGCCTACCTTTAATCGACGGAGGAGAGGATGCACAGAAAGAAAATATTTTCCCTTTCCATGCATCCTCTCATCCGGAAAGTCCACTTCCACTTCCCATCCTTTCCTCATAAGAAAAGGGTGGGAAGAGAAAGAAGACTAAATTAGGCCTCCGGGACGTTCTACCACTCTTAAACGTACTGTAAGAAATATCTTCGCAAGTATTTGTTATCATCAACCTGCTTGTATCTTTACCGGGGATGGGGGGTAGGCACAGTATGTACTATTCCATACATTTTTCTATACCTTTTTACGCATGTCCCCTTTCACATAATCCATCCCTACTTTCTCCAATCTTCTACCTTTGAAGGATGGCTTCATTTGGCAAGACATGACTTTTAATCTATTTATTTACGCGATCATCTGTCTACATTATGTTTCCAGATATTTGTTGTAATTCTTACAGTAGTTATACCAAATATTTGTGTCCAGATCCAAGGCTCTTCAAGGGTTGTAACTAGCAGTAATAAAGAAACAGTATTAGAGTTGTATTGATAATATATATTAGTATCAAAATAGTAGAAAAATAAAACTAAATGTTAAATTGTATATGTTTTTATATTTAAATATGATTGATCAATAATTTAATAAATAAAGGGTACAAAATTAACAGCTATTACAATAAATATGGGTAGGTAGGTATAAGCTTGATTAACATCTATTCTGGGATATGTTCAAATTTAAACACTTGTAATAAATAAAATGGTAACCAAACACAAATTAAACATAACTTTATGGAATAAAGCTTAACCGTACAAAGTACAAAATTCATGCTCAGTTAAAAAAAAAATTAACGTCAAAATTACAAGTACAAAAGTATTTACAATACTTTACAGTCAAGTTCTCTAGAAATCTATTCTAGTGTTATTACAATTTATTTGTTTTAATCAATGTCTATGTCTTGGTGTTAACCGAATAAATTCTTGAACCAGCCAAAGAAAGTAGATTTGGTAGATGGTGGCTCAGTGGCCATGGGGTCTGCGTATACATCCGCGGCGACACCCTTCACTGACCGGTCGAGACGGAAACCTTCCCGCAAGTCACGTAATAACTCCGGCTGTGGGTGACGTCTCTCCCAATCCGTCGCTGAAAACAAAACCTCGTATTTAAAATTATACAGCCGCACTCAGAGTGTAACAACGAGTGACTGTTTAAACAACATTAAACCAATCGAATTTTGGTAGATAGAACTAGACTAACTGCTGGTTTCCACTACATTGCACCATTACATAAACATATTCGCTCAGTTGCTTTTTAAATGCTTTGCTATCATTTTTATTATCCATTTTTAAAATACTTACGACAATAGGGTTCTGCAGCGGTCGTAAGCACGAAATAAGCACCAGTGGCTCTGGGCAAGCCATTCCCTCCTACAGCGCGTATGCCCATCTCCGAACAAGCGCCGACTCGGTCACAAGCCGCGATTATGCTCGCATTCACACTGGCGAAAAAATATGACTTATTTTCTTCCTCCACTACTGTACTTTTACGCTTTCTTGGCTTTAAAACACAATATTTTAGTATTCTATCGCTTTGAATAAGACACATTTTTATATTGTTCGTTGAATCGCTAACTACAAGACAACATTTACAATGCTTGAATTGAATATACTTATTTTGTGTATCTTTAAATATGTGTAGAAAAGTCTTTGATTCAAATGTATATTTACCCTTCATAAGTCAAATTCCACTGATGTCCTCTGAAGGAACAATTATTGTTGACTAAAGACTCAATGAACAGTAAGTACGCTCGGCCGTGACTGCACACCGCTTGCTGAAGTACTGCCAACATAAAGAAAAGCTTAATATTTTCCGCTTCTCATAACATGGGAGTGGGGACTGGTTAGTAAAAGAAAAGATCCTTTCCATTGTATCCTGGTAAATGAAAGAGAAAATTCATAACTTAAACATATTGGTTTCGGATTGAGTTAAGAATTAGTTGAGTACTTACTTCCGACTGGAATGGGCAAGAGACGAGCCCAGAGGGAGCTCGTGGCGTTGAAACAGCCGGGCTGCTTCATACCACCGTTAGGATAGAAGTCCGCATGACCTGTTTATACATACAATTATTCAAGACTTTCAAAAACCTTACATGTAATTTGAAGAAATAAAGCACAAGACTAATGGATGAATCAAAATTTAAGAAAATCGAATTCTATAATCAAGACACGGTAATAGAACATGAGTCTAGTTTTTTTTTAATTGTATTTTGGTGTAATACCAGTGGGATCAGGAAATCCGAATCCTATCTTAGAAAGTAGTCGTCCATTAGTATGGATGACGTCCACGAAGTCAGCATCGGTAGCGTCCAGTCGCTCCACCAGATTGTTTGTACGGAAGCAGGGCTGCGCCGGGTCTAGACCTGGAATACAAGCACCAATTCAATGTTGCCCTGTAACCACAGATTTGTTACCATCTGAGTGCAGTGCCGTTTAAAACTACGTAGCATTCGGGTGACAAAATCAATTTGGTACTCCTAAATGTATCAAGTCCAGTAATTTTTCTATTGAATTTTTTGTGAATAGTTTAGTCCTATTTTTTCCGGTTTACAAATTTATGAAACATAATTTGGCTACCAGAAAACCCAAAGCTACTTTTACAAACTTATAACATGTAGTTTCCTTATAAAAAAACTGGTCTTAAATTTTATTTCAAATCGCTATACGCATTTAAACATTATTTAAAAATATTTACATATATTTATTAATAAGAACTCGTTACACTTTTTATGTTTAAACTGATTTGGTTATATATAAAAATAATTGTATACATGATTGATAGTACTCGTTTCTTAGATAGACACATAAGGTGTAATCAGTAAATCATTAACTTCCTTGTCTATGTACTTGTAAACGTGTTCTATCTTATTCCGATTATGTATCCGCGCTGTACTAAACTTCATACTATGTACATACAATAGTTAAACGTATTGGAAATAGTTTGAATGTTATGTAGCTGGATAAATTATAGTAGGCATAGTTTATACATTTCCGTTTGGAAAATACCTATCCATTTTGTCCTCCCACACATATACCCAACCATATAGGTATATACCCAACCATATGGGTATATACCCAAC